CCCTGTGCTTTGCTGAGCTTGTTCTAAGTAGGTGCTTTGGACCACTGAGCCATTTCACCAGCCCACAAGGATATTAAAAAGTTACAAATCAAATTTCTAGACATGAAAACCACAATGTCTGAAATGAAAGATACACTAAATAGAACAGTAAATTAAGATACTGCAGAAAAAAAGATCAGTAAACTTAAATGCACAGCAACAGGGACCATCCAATATGAAATAGAGAAAAAGAACTTTAGGCTGGCCAAACAGCTCAGCGGATTAAAGCACCTGCTTAGGCAGATGCAGCCGGCCCCGCCCCCAGGATAGGCTGAGACAGCCATTGAGACTAGGCGTGGTGTCCTGGGCCTGTAATTCCAGCTCTTTGGAAGGCTGAACACAGGCGGATCACTAAGATTCCAGATCTACTTAGTGAGACCCTGTAGACCCTTACTAAAACAAACAAACAAACAAACAAACAAACACTTTAAAAAAGAACAGTGCATCAGTGAGCCAAGCTATGGACTTAAATTTGTTAAACCTAAAAACACAACTTCAAAACACACAAAGCAAAAATGAGTGGAGGGCTGGAAGGATAGCTCAACAGTCTAAGCACCTGCCTGACAAGTACAAGGACCCAGGTTTGATCCCTGGTACCACATTCTAGGCTGGCCCTGTGCCAAGCCAGCCACCAAGGGCAGGCCTCATCAAGAGCAGGCCAGGAGGGCCAGGCAGATGGCTCAGTGGAATAAGCGCTTCCCTGGCAAGCGCAAGGGCCTGAGTTCAATCCCCGGTTCCACGCAAAAAAAAAAAAAAAAAAGAGCAGACCAGCTAGCACACTCTTGTAATCCCAGTGCTAGGGAGCTGAAACAAGAGAATCACTACGAGTCTGAGCTACATAGCAAGACCCTGTACCAAGCAAATAAATTAATTTTTAAAAAAAGAGTGGAAAAGGGGCCGAGGAGATAGCTCAGTAGAATAAGTGCCTGGCAAGCACAAGGGCCTAAGTTCAATCCCCGGTTCTGCAAAAAAATAAAATAAAATAAAATAAAATAAAAGAGTGGAAATATAAAAGAAATGAGCAAATCCAGTTATAGGAAGAAATGTCAGTAACCCTGCCTCTGTAATCATTAAAATAAAAAACGGTAGGAGAAAGAACGTTTGATCATGACTATTAACTAATGTGACCTTTTTTTTTAAAACATTTATTTATTTATTTATTGTGTGTGTGGCCAGCTCAGCCCACCAGGGGGCGGGGCTGGCTGGCATGTGGTGCTGGGGGATTGAACCGTGGTCCCTGTGTTTTGCTTAGCTTAGCTTGCTCTAAGTAGGTGCTTTAGACCACTGAGCCATCTCGCCAGCCCCTAATGTGACCTTTTTGACATTTATAGAACATATCACCCCAAAGTGGCAAGACATGCATATAAAATATATAGGCATAAGCAATATGTACCCAGACAGAGCGTATTTGGGGCCATAAAATTAAGCTGAAAAGCTTCCTAATCTAAATTATATTTTTCAAGACTGGGTGTGGTGGTGTATGCCTATAATCCCAGCTTTTGGGAGGCTGTAAACAGGTGGATCAAAACAAAAACAGGCAGATCACTACAATTGGATCTAGTAGTGAGACCCTGAATAGCCTATAGACCCTTCCAAGAAAAAACAAAAAAAAAAGCAAACAAAAAAACAAACAAACAAAACAAAAAATAGATGTATTTATTTTTTTCTTTCTTTTTTAGCCAGGCATGGTGGCACACCTGTAATCCTAGCATCTGGGAGGCTAAGGCAGGAGGAATACTATGCAGTCAGGCCACCCTGGGCTACATAGTGAGTTCTATGCCAGCAAAACAAGATCTTGTCTCAAAAAAAAAGAAAAGAAAAGAAAAGAAAAAAGCAGATATATATGTTTTGTGACAATTGGAATCAAATCAGAAAGTAGTATTAAAAAGTTCTCTGGAAAACTCTCAAATATTTGAAAGCTAAACAAAAACTTTCTAAATAACCCAGGTACCAAAGGAGCTATCAAAAGAGAAATTAGAGAGCAGAAAGCATTTCTAACTGAATAAAAATTAAAACAGTGAAATTTGTGGGCTGTCTCTAAAACAGTGCTTAAGGAAACGCATAACATTAAACATCGGGGCTGGGGAGATGGCTCA